AAATCATCCCTAGGGGCTGGAGATTTAGCTCAGCAGCACAGTGCTTTCCTGGCAAGCATGAGGTCATGAGTTTGATTCCCGGTACTGGAAAAAAAAAAAAATCATCCCTAGATATGGCCTACCCACGATCACTGGCAGTGACTGTTAGATATGGCCTATCCACGATCAGGGGCCTGCATTTGTACCAGAGGTAATTCAAAAACTAGATTAAATAAAAACTACATACTGCTTGTAACCAGTTGAAAGATGAGTTATACCCATAGACAGTCCTGCACATACATATAACCCAGATACATATTAACTATCACCATAAATTCTGGTATGTTGCACTGGTACCATTTAATTCCAGAAACTGTGTTATTTCTTCTGTAACCCGCTGTTTAGTAAAGAGAGTGTAGTTCAGTTTTTGTGCATTTACATAATTTTTGTGTTCCATTTTGTTGTTGACTTCTAACTTTTTGTGCTATGGTGTGATAACATGTATAGTATAATTTTTTTTTTTTACATTTATTTAAGGCTGACTTACTGGCTAGTCCATTACTTAATGGAATTAAATGGTACCAGTACAACATACCAGAATTTATGGGACACAATAAAAGCAGTCCAAGAAAGAAGTTTATAGCTGTGAATGCCCACATCACAAAAACAGAATGACACCAAAAAAATAATCTAACCATTCATCTATTGAAGGCCCTGTGCTGTTTCCATGACTTAGCTATTATAAACTGTTCTGCTATAAACATGGGTATCCATGTATCAATGTGGTATGATGCTTTTAATTCTTTTAGGAAGATGCCAGAAGAGGAATGGCTGAGTCAAGTGGAACCTCTAGTTTTACTTTTTTGAGGAATACCCATACTGGTTTCCATAGTAGTTGCACCAGTTTAGACTCCCACCAGCAGTGGAGAGGGGTTCTTTTTCCCCTGTAGCCTTGCAAGCATTTGTTATTGGCTGATGTCTTGATGATAGTCATTCTGTCTGGAGTGAGATGGAACATTGGTGTTGTTTTAATTTGCATCTCTCAAATGACCAGTGATACGGACCATTTTTTCACATATTTATTTGATGTTTCTATTTCTTTATCTGAGAAGAGTGTATTCATTTCAGGTATCCACTTTTGGATTGGGTCTTTGAATTTGAGAAGGATCTGATTTTTTTATTTCTTTATATATTCTAGATGTTAGACCTTTGCCTGAGGAGTAGCTGGTAAAAATTTTTTTCCCATTTTGTGGGCTGTCTTTTCACTCTGCTGGTGGTTTCTTTTGCTGTGCAAAAGCTGTTTAATCTGATGTGACCCAGTTGTTGATTCTCTGTAATATTTCCTGTACAATCAGGGTTTTGCTCATAAAGTCTTTTCCTACACCTATGTCTGCCAGAGTTTCACCTATTCTATCTTCAGCAGAGTAAGTGTTTCTGTGGTTACATTTAGATCTTTGATTCATTTTGACTGAATGGTGAGACGGATAGGTCTAGGTTCAATCTTTAGCATGTGAAAAGATCCAAATTAAAAAACATTCTTAACTACTTTATAAACCTGTATGCCAATAAATGGGGGAATTCAGAACAAATAGAGAGATTTCTAGATACATACGAATTACCAAAATTGAACCCAGAAGATTTTAAAACCCTGAATAATCTAGTGACAGGCAATGAAACTGAAGCAGCAAAAAATAACTTTGCAACTAAAAAAGGCCCAGATCTAGATGATAAACTGCTGAATTCTATAAAAACTTCAGGTAAGTTCTAACACAATACTTTTCAAGTTTTTGAATGAAATTGAAATGACTCTCAAAGTCATTCATGGAAGTCACCATTAACCTGATTCCAAAATCAAAAAATCAAACTATAGACCAACCTCTTTGGTGAATACAGATGCAAAAATCCTCAACAAGATACTTACAGACAGGATGCAATGAATCTTGGAAAAAGATCATACATCATGAACAAGTAAACTTCATCCCAGGGATACAAGGATGGTTCAACGTAGGCAAATCAACAAATGTAAAACATCACACAAACAGAAGTAAGAATAAAAATCACATGATCATATCAATACAGAAAAACCCTTTGACAAAAATCCAATGCCCTTTCATGATAAAAACACTGAACAAAATAGGTATGGAAGAAACTAATCTCAATCTGATAAAAGCCACATGACAAACCTAGTGTCAATATCTTATTAAAGCTTTCAGCTTTCCCTCTAAAATCAGGAAGAAGACAAAGATGCCCACTACCACCACTTCTGTTAAACACAGTAATCAAAACATTAGCAAGAGCAATTAGGCAATAAAAAGAAATAAAAGGAATATGTATAGGAAAGAAAGAAGTCATATTATTATTTTCAGAGGACATGATGCTCTAATATAAAAGACCCAAAAAATTCCACTGAAAGACTTCTAGAATAAATAAACTCAGCAAAGGTACAGGACACATAATCAACACACAAATACCAATAGCATTCCTATATACCAACAAAGAACCCACTGAGAAAAAAATAGGGAAAAGTATCAAAACAGCACCAAGAAAAATTAAATACTTATGAATTAACCTAAGTAAGTAAAAGAATTCTACAATGGAAACTAAGTACTCTGAAAAAGGTGATCAAAGACGACATCAGAAAATGGAAAGCTATCCCCTGTTCCTGGATAGGCAGAACCAATATAATCAAAATGGCCATATTTGATATACAGATTTAATGCAATCCCAATGAAAACACCAACAGCATTCTTCAACAGAACTGAATAAAACAATCCTATACTTCATATGAAACCAGAAGAGAGCTAGAATTGCAAGCAGAACAGGAGGTATCAAAGTCTCAGTCTTGAAGCTATACTACAAAGCTACAGTTGATATAAACAGCATGGTTATTGTCACAAAAACAAGGGTGAGGATCAATAGAACAGACTAGAGGATGCAGAAATAACCCTAAGTACATTCAATTATTTGATCTTTGACAAAGGTACCAAGAAGATACCACAAAGGAAAGATTGCCTTTTTAATAAATGGCGCTGGGAAAACTGGCTATTCACATGCAAAAAATTAACTCTAGACCCATATCTTTCACCATGTACTAAACTAAAACCAATACAAAATGGATCAAAGATCTACATGTTCAAACATTCAGCCTGCTGGAGGACAAAATAGATGAAACTCCTGAGTCACAGGCATAGGCAAAGACTTTCTGAACAGAATTCCAATAACATAAGAAATAGTACTGCAATCATATCAAATTAAAAAGCTTCTACACAGTAAAAGAAATAACCAATAGAGTGAAAAGACAACTTACAGAAAGGGAAGAAATTTTTGCCAGCTTTTCTCAGACAGAGGACTCATATCTAGAATACATAGAGAATTAGAAAAAAAAAATACACTAAAACAACACTGAGATTCCATCTTACCCCAGAAAGAATGGCCATATCAAGAAATGAAATAACAAAACGCTGGAGAGGTTGGGAGGGAAAGGAAATCCTTCTACATTGGTGGTGGGAATATAAACTAGTGCAATCACCATGGAGATACCTCAAAAAAGTAAAAACAAATTCCATTTGACCCAGCTATTCTACTTCTAGGTATCTTCTCATAAGAGTTAAAGACATCATATTACAGTTATATAAGCACACCCATATTTACAGCAGTGTAACTCTTAATATCTAAATCTTGGAAGCAGCCCATATGTCCATCAACAGATGAATGAATAAAGAAAAATGGTATTTACATAAACTTAAGTCATTTGTAGGAAAATAGATGTACCTTGAGACCATAATATTAAGGAAAATAAACAAGGCACACATGCTTAAATATTGCATGGTTTCTCTTACATGAGAAACAAATTAAAGAATAAAATAAAAGATAATAGGAAGTAGGAAGATAGTTCTTCCTCCAACGGAGAAGGGGAACAAGGGATGGGGGAGTAAAAAATGTAACTGGGATGTGTTATATACATGTACCAACTCCAAACAAAGAATATAAACAGTTTGTATCACAAACGTACTAATAAAACAAAAAAGGAAACGCCTAGCGATTAGTAAAGCGCTGTCCTGGGTGAGTGTGGCGGGTCATGGAGGCATTACGTTTGGGTACAGAGGGTCCCTCACTTTTTCCTCTCTGGACTGTTTCCTGGCCACCATGAACTGACCAGCTTTGCTCATTCACATCCTTCCCCCTTGATGCCTCTGCCTTCAAGGCAGATCATCAGAGATCCAAAAATGTGAGCTAAATTAAACTGTTCCTCCTTTGTGCATGTCAGGTATTATGTCTCAGTGATGAGAAATCTGACTAATTCACTAATGTTTTATCATAATTTAACAGTAATTTGAAAATATTCTGTTGCTCTAGATTAAAGTAAAATCTTCTTGAAAAATTACACTTTTTATTTAACAAGAGACAATGCTACAAGCAGGGTAGGCAGTGTGATTAAAAAATACAATGAATCTATTTATTGACTTTCTAGTATAAAAGACACATTACCATTAATTCTTGCACAAACTACTCCTCCTCACCTCAAACACATTTATCCCATCATTCTTAGCACTTTCTGAAGTAGTTCTCAAAGTTCTCTTTTATGAATATCCTCAGCTGTACTGTCATAGGTGCCTCTATGTCCTACAGTAATTCAAAACATTTATCACCTTTGAATGTCATTTTAACTTTAGAGAGAAGCCAACATAGTTCCAGATCTGTTGAATAAGGTAGATAAGGATGCAACATAATGTTTTCACAAGCCTGCTTTTCTTTTGCATGGCACGTGGTTCGCACAAGAGAATTTCCAGAACTACTTCAAAAAGGGGCAAGAATGGAATAAACTGTAGTCAAAATGAGGGGGGGTATTTTGAGGGAGATTAATAGAAATGTGTTTTTTACTGTAATTGATGCTTTCAATTTCAAAATTTACCATATATTTAGATCACGTCATATATATACATATATCATCATTTTTTATAAAGCTAGTTGTTTTTCTCAAGTTCAGCCTCTAAGAAAAATCAGAACACTGGTTTTCTTACCTTCTTCCCCTTATGCACGTGATAAGGAACAGACTCCGTGCTTACTCATGCTTACTGCGCCACCAGCTAGTCCTGCTAATTCGATATGCTCCGTTTGATCCTACAGAAAAAAGCAGGTTGTTTGTTACATTTGCTAAAACAATCAGCAAGCCCTAATTTTTATCATATAATGCTATCATAGCAGACAAAAGCAATAGGGCTTAAAAATAAACTACAATTACCCCTTTCAGATTCAAAGACCCAATCAGCATTGGAAAGCAGCAGCAATAAATTTTATTACCTAAGAAGGTCAGAAGTTAAATAAGCCAGAAAGTTAATAATGTCTATACACTTATTTTGACTGTTTTTTGTTTGTTTGTTTGTTTGGAGACAGGGTCTCAGTATGCAGTTCAGGCTGACCTTGAGCTCACTTTGTAGCCCAGGCTGGTCTTGAACTCCTAAGGATCCTCCTGCCTCAGCCTCCCGAGTGCTGGGATTACAGGCATGTGCCACCACATCTGGCTTATACACTTATTTCCAATCAATAACATACAGTGAAAACATTAAGAACAAGTACTTTCTACCTAGTGATTTTAGTTATGCTAATACAAAAAAACAACATTTATGTTATAATGGGACTTCTAAGAATCCAAAAGTAAGAAAAACTGCTGCTTTAAAAGAATGTCCTCTGCATGATTTTTTTCATATACATACAACTTTTTTTTTCCCGGTACTGGAAATTAAACCCAGGGCCTTTCCATCCTCAGCCCATTTTTTTTTATTATTTCCTTTAAATTTTGATATAGGATCTCACTAAGTTGTTAAATTGTACAGGTTGTGTTTCAACCCTCCTGCCTCAGCCTTCCAGAGTACTGGGATTCTTAAATTGAGTCTCAAAAGCTTCCTGCTGAGATTTTTATTGCCAACTGTTTTTTCTCCAAATGTATTTGGAGTTCAGTTTTCTCCTACTTAGAAGCACAGATCTATTAATCCAGTGTTAACTTGTATTATCAGTGGTATGCAAAAGACTCAAGCGTGGCTTATTTCTTCTGATACATACGTGACAACATCCATTAAGTCAGAGTCGTCCAACTTAAATGCCTCTGTAACTCCTTAGATGTAATATAAAATTCCTTAAGGACCTAATTTAGCCTTGAACAAGACTAGCAGTTTAAACTAAGCAAAATAAAACCAAGAATATTCTGGGATACAGTTCATAACAAGGCCCTGGGTTCAATTCCTAGTGTGTCAGGTGTAGGGGTACTAAGAGTATCTTATTATCAGTATAAAATGTCTAACAAATTACCATAGTATTTCCAGAATAGGTAAGTACCTTGTAGGTGGTCTAATAAACACCACCTTAACTTTAAAGATAAACTGAGGCACCAGAAGAAACTGCCTGATATTATTACAAATATTTTATTATCTGACATGAAAATGATATGCTTACTAAAAAGTTAGAGGGTCTAGAAAAACACCTAAGATTCATGTTTCCAGAGATCAATAAAGAATATAGAATATAAAATAAACATTAGTAAAAGACTATTTTGTCTTTTTTGTTTGTTTCTTTTGGGTTTTTTTTTTTTCTGGTACCGGGAATTGAACTCATGACCTTGCGTTTGCCAGGCAGGCACTGTGCCGCTGAGCTAAATCCCCAGCCCCCAAGCATACAGTGGCTCTGCAAACCTAGTCCAAGAAAAAACAGAAAAAATGATATAAATAAAGATGTTTAGGGCCACAGATATAGCTCAGTGGCACAGCGCCTACCTGGCAAGTACAAGGTCCTGAATTCAATTCCCAGTACCAAAAAAAAAAAAAAAAAGATGATGTTTAAAATATAAAATACAAACACATTGTAGGACTCTCTTATGTGGATATTTTTATAAAATAAGAAATTTATGAAATAAGTTCTAAAATTCTGGCACTTGGTTACAAGAGAAAAAATTAGGAGGATAAGCCAGAAATAGTTCTCAGTTAAACGTCTATTTTGGTTCTAGCACTATTCCTCACAGAACAAATTTAATATGTGCTTAATAGCCAAATTTCCTAATATTTCTAACAACAAGTCTGACAAGTTCAAACTCAGTATGTAGAAAATTTCATTTGATCTTTAAATTCCTCTTTCTCAGTTTCCTATCTTATTTCAAACAGGGTACTCAGATAGGTATGGCAAATCATATTTCCAAATATAGATACCACAGTAGCTCCCATCCAACATGTATCATTTCCTATTCACATCATTAACAAAGGCATTGATATTTCCATCCCTAGGATGAAGTCTATACCTCCATACCAAAGCTAACAGTGCTGTTTGATTTGATTTTTGCTTATCTCTCTAGTATGACACCTTCTATTCTCAAAACTCTTACTCTAGGCACTAGTCACCTTGATCGATGTGAACTTCCAATTCTCAGTCTTGCCTATCTACATTTCCCAAAACAGGCCTTTATACCAATACCTGCTACAGCACAGATGGACCTTGAAAGCATTTTAGTAAGTGAAAAAGTCAGTTACAAGAATCACAAAGTAGTTCTATTAGTATGAACTGTTCAGGACAGGCAAATCCATAGAGACAGAAAACAGATTGACAGGGTTACAGAGAGAAAAACTGAGGAATGACTGCAAATGAGTACAGGGTCTCTTTCCATGGTGATGAAAATGTTCTATTAGTGGTGATGGTTGCACAACACCAAGTAAACTGAAAATCACCTGATGGATACTTTAAAACGTTAATCTTATGGTATGTGACATACTTCTAAATAAAATAGTTATGTTTAAAAAAAAAAAAAAAAAGGCCGGGCGTGGTGGCGAATGCCTGTAATCCCAGCACCTGGGAGGCTGAGGCAGGAGCATTGTTGTGAGTTCAAGACCAGCTTGAGCTACAAAGTGAGCTCAAGGCTAGCCTGAACTGCATAGCGAGACCCTGTCTCAAAAAGGCAAAAAAAAAAAAACAAAAAACAAAAAAACACACAAAACAGGCCCTGGGTTTGATCCCAGCAATGCAAAAACAAACACAAAACACCACACCTTCACATATATTATTTAAGTATTCAATACTTTCTAACACTTTTCCTCTGATACTGTTACTCCTGGGAATTAAAGTTTTTCAGGAGAGAAACTGTTTCTGTCTTTTTTATCATTGTATCTCCAGCATATGATATCATGTACAGTGCTCACTAGTCAACTGTGATATGAGTTGAAATAACTAAAGGACTTTCAAAGTATTTCTACCTAGAAACTTCTCCATACAAAGGATCCTAAGAGTTGTGTTGTGCCTGCCAAAACTTCAGTGTACTTAAAATTTCAAAGTTTATTAACACCAACATAAAATTACTTGTGTGCTTATCAAAGAACAGTTCAAACATAAATCATATTTTGTCATGGTTTTGTGTTCTCTATCTACAGTCACAACTTCAGAAAGTTCCTATTAGTTTAATGACTTACCGTAAAAAAAAGAAAGAGTATGATTCAAGAATATGACTACAACAACGTATTTTCTGCCAAAATGGAACTGGAATTTCAAGTCAACTCTTACCTGTAGAAAACTATACTTTCCTTTGCAGAATATTTTGAACAATGATGAAGAATGGTGCTTTGTATGAAATGCCCTGCACAGTGCTCATTAAATGGTAGCTATTATTATTCATCAGTCAAAAGCAATTTGTGTGAAAGAATTAGCACACAAAGCAGTGTGCTCTGAACCATGAAACCAAGCCCTGAACTGGTTTGTTTGTACAAGTAAAAATCCATCAGGGCTGTTGTCCTTAAGTGATCGTTTGAAGTCTGAATGATGAAACAAAGAAAGAAAGGAACCAAAAAAGTAACCTGACTGCTCAAGTTTCTGAAGAGGTTAAATACGATCCTAAAAGGCCATCCGTTGAATATGAACACTCTCACTGTAGCAGATAAAAGAAATAAGATAATCTCCATGAGGAGTATTATTCCGTAGATCAAGACCAAAATATCTTGACAGCAGGATCTAAGAAGCTGACATTCCTGCTACTTCACACAGTCACACAGGGCTTCAGTCTTCAAGATATCAATCTGGCATCTTTCACAAACACTGAATTTTCCATAGAGAGCTATAAAGAACAAGCTGACTCCTTTCACCTAGTACACTACACAAAAAAATCAGTGGTTAAATGGATATCAAAAAACATGGCAACCGGTGTATCAAATATATGTAGACAATGAAATGCCTAAAACAGTAAATGATGGGAGATTAGCACTAAAACAAAGGATACCTTTAATTGTCACATTTGGAATAATGAGACTCAAGATCATAAATAAATTTGTATATAGTAATGGTTAGAAACTATCAAGATATACAACATTCTTGGGACAATAATTTTACATGTCAACTTGACTGGGCCAAAGGATGCCCCTCTATCTTTTTTTTTTTTTTTTTTTTTTTTTTTTTTTTTTTT